TTATTGTTTAATACAACTTATATGCCTAGATCATTTTATCTATTTATTTCTTTTTAACAAAATTCTTATATGACTAACTAAATTCGGCGGCGATTGCGGAAGAGTTTAAACCCATTTAGGCGGCCGCTTTAAAGTTTTTTTGTTGTCGGCGTTACCGCTTTGAAAACGAGGATAGAATTTTCTTCAACAAAAAATATGTTTTTTGTTTTCGGCCTGTCATGAAACAATCCGCTAAAGGAACAATGCAAATCACACAGAAAACTAAATTTAAACAATAGTATACTAAAATATATTAATGTATATACCAGGTGTCCAATATGTTTCTGGATAACTGTTAAATAAAAGGGATAAAAGTGTTTTACCTGATCAACCTCTTGTAAAACTACCCGCTAGAAACCACCATTATCATTTATGTTTCAAACCACGCCCCCACACTTTTTTTAATATGATACATTTTTCGCTTCATGTCAACGATATTATACGATGTATTGATCAAAATTGTAGATAACAGACCAGTGGTGGCTCGTGGGGTGGTTCACAGTGACAGAATATAGGTATCAGTACAGATGTATGAAAAAACTTTCCCTGTTTTAGAAAGTTTATAATATACCTTTCTAAAACACTGACAGTTTTTTACCTATATCTGTCCGGGATCTATATTCTGATACTGTGAACCCCCAAAATTTTGGTCACAGGCCGCCCCTGTAACGGACTCATTTAACCTGTTTCTAATAGTCTAAGATCCGAAATAAGGTCGACCTTCGCCCATATGTTTAATGGATGAAAGTTTCTTTTTATTAAATAAAATTTGTTTATAAATATACCACAAAAGGGTTGCCTAAGAAAATACTGTCCAGAGTATTTATTTTCTTAAAATAAAAAAAAAACGACACCCTTTAAAATATTCCCCAGATGCTTCGACTATTCCCAAACTTTAATCAGCTGACCGCAGGATAGATTAAAGCTTAAGTTTAAAATTTGGTGTTTTTCTCTTTATCCGTTTTTGAGTTGCACTTTTCCTTAAATATCTCGAATTAGGTCCACTTTAGGGAAATCATGTATAGGGACAAAATAATAGAGAATGACATCATTAGCAACTTTTATCATGATTCCTATACTTTCCTTATCTGTACACAGAAAGGAAAGCAAAAAATGGCTGTGACCGTATTTTTTTAGGCAACCCATTTGCGGTATATTTAAAAAAATATTTTATCTAATAAAAAAAAACTTTTATCCATTAAACATAAACAGATGGGTGAAGGTCGACCTTACTTACGGATCCTGGACTATAAGGGGTGCGTGGTTTGACAAGCGGTTGATTTAAACTACCTCCTACAAAAATAAGCAATTAAATTTGTATTATATAGTAAAATATTTCCCATGTTAAGTCAGCCTTTTTTACCATTTTGACCATATAAATACAGCCTAAAAAAAGCAATATGATATATGATTGAACTGAGGGAGATAAATTGGATCATTTTAACCAAAAAAATATGAGCTTGAAATTGAAAAATGAATGATAAGAATGGTTTTGTTTTATTTTACACCCTTTGGACCCTCCGAAGTATTATCCTAATCCATTTGTAGCGTGGTGGCACTGCAGCTTGCAATTTATGGTACCACCATTTGAACGCCCCACTACTTTCTCAATTACTAATTTACCGTTATTAATTTCACATCGTCGATGGTTAAACGCTTGTTGGCTAAATCACATGGTGGCATGGCTCATGGTAATCGTCCCAGCCGACAATCATCCACGACGTGACTGATGATATCACGGTTTAACTGTTGCGAGAACGCGGATGTACACAAATCTCATGCTAGCCGCTCGGCTAGGGATGGTTTCTAGGGGGTGGTTTGGCAAAGGTTGATTTGATGCTATTAAATCATTTAGACAATAGCTGGCCAGAATCCTATAGGATACCTGGTATATATCCTACACCGGCACGTGTCGCAAGAAAGGTTATTTCGCTAATATCAAAGTAGGTATACCGCCCTTTGTCGGTATGCCGAAAAGGATTATCATTTGGTATTTATACAAGCCAAAAAGTATTAAAGCTAATTTTCCTCTTTGCTTCTGAAGCTGTAACATTGTGTGTTGTATTAGTGTATTTTGAATTGATTTAATATTTTTGTAATTATTGAAAATTTTTGCCATGTCTAAAATAGGTAAGTTATAGGTTCTTTATTTTTTCTAAAAAAAGACCTAAAAAGTTACTTATTGCTCGTATTTTCTTCAGTATTTTCTCTTAAAAATTTGTGCTAGGTATCTGATTTGTATACGAAATTTTAGGCAAGAAAACCAGACGGTTTCCTTCCAAAACAGGTAGTCGATCCAAAAAATCGACGCTGATGAAAAAATTGTTGCTGTTAAAAACAGCCAATAAACATAACATTGTAAATTTAATAGATTAAGTAAATTATAATTTGAAGAAGTAGGTACCTATACAATTAATTGAATTGAAATACTGTCGCATTCAAAAATAAAAATTTACCTTACAGGATTTTCTTTAAAAATTAATTATTAATGAGTCAGAAAATTAATGTATCCGGTTTGTCCTCACTGAAGGCAACAGAAATAAGTACATTCATTTTAACCGTCCAAAATAGTTATTTGTGTAGTAAGACCGTGTTGATCTTTTTTTTGGCCGAATCATACATTTGCAACTTCTGGTTAGGATAAAATTTATCATACGGCCAACACAACATTTTTTAAGCGACTCTCACATCAAGTAGAGCCAATATTTTTTTACATTATCTTGTTTTTAATAAGATGCTTAAATGCAAGAATTGTTTCAAATTTTTATTGATCGAATAAAAATCCATCGTTAACTAATAAAATTTGCACAGAAGAATTACTAACGATAAGTATGATAAACCTTTGTTTATAAAAAGCGGTCATAAAGTAAATGTGGCTAAAAAAGTGACACTTTAAAGCGGCCGTAAAGTAAATGCGGCCGTAAATTAAATACGGCCAAAAAAAGTGACATTCTAGGGATGTTAATAAATCCGTAAAATGTAATTTTCTAAAAAAGTCACCTAAAAAAATTTTTAATAAAATTATTCGATATCATGGACGGCTTGTTAATTTATAATGTTGATAAATGCCTAAAAAATACCTATATGGGATTTTGAAAACAAAAATGGTACGTACAAACATTATTGCTTTAGGCGAATTCTACCACTCGTTAGTTAATAAAAAAAAAATCCAGTACCTAATTAATAATACCTAATTATAATTTTTCTCGAACTGTTTTTAAGAAAAGTAAACAAAATCATGTCACAGCTCCGTCAAATAAAACGAGAAAATCTAAAAAGAAATCATTTCAAAACACTTACTTACCTATGCCGAATTTTAATTATAGAAGGTGCTATGATTTGTGTGTTTCTTTTGAGACATCCAGTATGCTTCTACCTTCTACCCTTTTATAAAACGTTCATAATTGATCTGAAAAATACTTAATACGCAAGCCATTTTAGCTATCTATATTACCTAAATAATGAAAAAATAAATAAAGAGTCAACCGCCCGTCAAATTATTCGCCCATCCATCATGCAAATCATTTTCTAACGATTTCGTATAAAAGATAATTATGTGGACGTGAATTTATAAATACAGCGTGCAAAGAACGAATTGTCAGTGTTGCCGCTATTAAATTCCCTGTGTATTTGAAACTCACGTTATTTCGTCTTCTCTTTGCAGTTTAGACATATCAAAACTTTACTCCGAATAGTGCACGCGTTGAATGATCGAAAATGGTTAGTAACGATTTGACTTGCTTGTTTTTAGATCTGTCGACGAGTGTCTGAACTGAAATGTTGGTAAAACAGAGTTTGACGCGTATATTATTTGAAATTTCAGCTTGTATTTTATTTCTCAATTTTCTCCGTTATTACATTGATTTGAGAATTGGTTTCAAGATAATTGTATTTGATTATTAATAGAGTATTTGCTTGACCCCGAGAAAAAATCGTATTACATTTTTTTATAATTGTTTAAACTTTTATTTTTATTATTATTAAAGTTACATTATTTATATTGGCGTCCGCACCTGCTCTGATTTATTTCAAAAACGTCTACAAAATCTTAGCTCTTCAATTTGTATAGTTTTTAAATTTATTAGAAAATAAAATTAAACGCAATTAAACTCTCACCTTAATAAAACAAAAGTCCTAATTTCATACATTTGCAACTTTAAGTTTGAATATCTTCAGAACGGCACACTCTATAAAAAAATAAATTAGAACTTTTTTGTAGAGCGTTCAATTTCCTATCAAAATTATTTTTCAGTTCATTTTTGCAATGCTAAAATGTCAAGCTACAAAAATAAGAAAAAATATTTTTTTTTCCTTATTTAAATGGAAAATGGAAAGTTAGGAACATGTTAATATTAAGAGCTCAAATTTTTAGAGGCTTCTTTTTTCACCTTCCTTCAAAGTTTTTAACCTGTTTTTTAGTTGAAAAAAAAAGTTGCTTAAAAATGACACACCCCTAATGTACATGTTTAATGTTTTACTTATCTCACTAGTAATATTTAATTACATGAAAGTATTACTACATTAACAATGTCATTTTAATCTTCGTTTAACATAACCGTGGAATTGGGCATCATAGGAGCTAAGATTGCTAAGATATATCACATCGATTCAGGAGGATGCACAATGCTCCAAGTGTAGGGGTGGGCAAAATAATCGGTTAATTAGTCCAGGGATTTCCAAACTATTTTGGGCAAGAGACCCCTTTTCCAAAATGAACTGATACCTCAGACCCCCATAGCCGAAATACTTTAAAAATCCTAACTCTAGTTTTTTTCCTATTGATACAAAATACTTACCAATTTAAAAACTTTTCTCATCAAAATTTAACAAATTAATTAGAAATACAATTTAGTAATTGTCAAGTGTAATTAATAACACCGGCACACAAAAAAAAAGTTGTACATCAGGCACGACCTACCTACCTACCGGCATGTATTTTGACTCGCTGAATCCGAATTTCAAGTCAGTTTGGGCCGTCCACCCTTTAAAATCCACCCTTGAAATATCTCTAAAAACTGATGTATGAACTGAATGAGGCGAAAGATTTTCTCAGATTTTGAACTGTTTTTTGTTGGTATCAAACTTTTTTGTTCTCAAATGACCTCCGCAGTATTCAGCGGATCGAAATACATAAGAATTATGCTTGGTTTCGATTCATAAATTTTTTTTATTACTAATTATCTTATTTTTACTATTTTTACAATTTACTCGATATTGAAGGGTGGACGGCTCAAACTGACTTGAAATTCGGATTCAGCGGGTCAAAATACATGCCGGTAGGTAGGTCGTGTATGATGTACAAACAACTTTTTTTTTGTGTGCCGGTGTAATTATTAATACAAATTACCTAAAAATAATTAAGTAGGTAATAATTAAAAAAAAAATCTCAAAGTAAAAATAAAAATTCAGTGTAATGGATGAACCTGGTGACTTTCTACAAATATAGCTAAATCTGGTTCAATATTGATGAGTTGCAGCCTTAAATCTTCCCGTTCGCTGATTTTCAAACGGTTTCTTTGTTTTGTCAAAATGTTTGTAACCACACTGAAGCCTTTTTAGACTAGGTATCATGATGAAAGAGCGATAAGGATTTTTCAGCAATATTCCACAATAGAGGATACTGTGTTTCAATGTTGCGCTGCAACCAGAACTTCTGCTTAAGCCCTCGTCTGTGCTGATGGTGATCATCTCTTCTTTCATTATCACATTGGCTTCTTGCATGGTTGCGATATTGTACGAATTATTATTCATTGCGGAATTTATAAATTTAAGAGATCCTCAAACCTCTTAGTAAAATCCGTGTGTAATACGCCCAAATGGGTGACATATGATAAAATAACATCGTCTTGAAACATTTCTGGTAATTTTTATAAATACGGTAACTATGAGATCATCATCTTACAGCTGCAAATTAACTTTGTTAAACATACCAAAGATATCAGTCAAGCAATAAATATCTGTTTTACAATTGTTCAGATTTTCTTTCAAATTCGGATCTTTTTCTTGTAAAAACTGCAACACAGATTCAAAAACAGCTGAAAATCTTGCTAAGCAGGAGCCTCTTGAACTCTTGATAGCCAGAGAACTTCAGTGTACAGAAGTAACCGAGTAAAGACTTTCGTCGTTTTCCTCACATAACTGGGCAAATAGGCGAGAGTTCAAAGAATTGCTTCGAATCTTGTTGACAGCATCACAGTGAATGACCAGTACCTCAGGCAGTTGTCGCTTTAGGTGAGCTATAAAATCACGATAACGACCAACCATAGATGGTGCACCATCAGTCGCAACAGAAACGATGTTCTTCCATGGGTTCCTCATCCTGAAAAATCGATTCTCTAAATATGTAGCAAAGAACAGTTCTTGGCACATATTTTCATCTTTAATATATAATAAATAACATCCTAACAACAGAGGATTATTGTCGGGTAATGTAGACTCGTCCATCTGTTGGTCTGTAAGACAATGCATACAATATGTGCGGGCTTATGCAATACATTGTTGAGAACCTCCGCAATGGCTGGTAAAATAAGCTGCTCTCCAATTGTGTGAGATTTCCCAGACTTCGCTATTAGTAAAGATATAGGACGCTCGTAAACCATCAACGTCTTGCATAGATGATGACGCAAACATCGATCTAATGGATGGCCTTTTCTCTAGTTTTTCTTTAAGTGCTTGAAAGAATGACAAGGGATGCCTTGTTTTGTCAACATATACTCTTCATAAGGGGTTCTCCATTTTTGGAGGCTTCATAGCATCGTTACTGAATACTTTTAAACATATGAGACACATCGGCAAGTGGTGATTTGATAGAGATGGAATAAATCCAAACTTCAAGTAGTCCAAACTGTATTGTCTGCATTTTTTTCGTGTCTGCCACCATAAAACTTGCAGTAAACCTGCAAATCAAAAAATATGTTTAAAAAACTACTTAAGGTAGTTCACTCGCGACAGTCGTAAATAAAAATATCGCATAATGGTGAATACCAAAAGATCGAGATTCTCATTGCTAAACAATTTTATTTTTGTAAGAGACTATACACAACAAATGTAAGCTTTTATTATACATGTACACTTATACAAGTAAATTCTCACAATAAAAAAATCCCATACAGATCCAACTTTATGAAACACTGTATATGAAGATACACAATATTTTTAAATTGAAGTATAGCAAAATAAGTATAATGCAGTTATTTACAAGTATAAGTATTGTTTATTTTGGTATTTCAGCCCATATTACTATCTATGTGAGGACGTGAGGACCCAGAAGTTTGGTTGCATTAGAAAAAGTGACATCATGTTAATCAAAATTGTATTGCCTATTTGGTAAGTATTTCTGTTTCTTGATAGTCAAAAATTTTTTTTACATCAGTTAACAAACACGGCAGATAGCGATTTAATTTGTTAATCAGCTTAATTAGAGAATCCGCGTTAGCCGCTAATGTGGTGTCATTGGCATATTATAGAGTATAGGTATCGTTAGTAATTACATTTTTAGATGTCGTTGTTATATAACAGGAAAATCAAAGGACCCATGATTCATCCTTAGGGTACATCGATGTCTACATCATATTGGATAAATCTCTGATTAGGAAGCTTTCAAAAATCAAAAAAAAGTACGCCCATCTACTTGTCTATTTTTAACTAAAGAATAGAATATAAAATTAAAAAGAGCATTGCCTACACATGCCGTTGATATTCCTGGTAAAAACCCATTTTGATAACTTGTTATCACATATTTTTTGGAAATAACATTTGTTTATAAAACTGTTTTGTTTATATATTGATAGCACTTGTAGTATTATTACTGAAAATAAATTGGTCAATAACATTTTATATCAACACAACTAACTATATATAGTTTTTAATTTTGAAATGTTATTAAGTGTTTTAAAAACTAATTAATTTATTCTTTATTGACCGAACTTTGCAAATATTTATTTATGTACAAACAAAAAAAAATTACTTTTTATATTTCACAAAATAATTGATTGTTTTTGAATGGAGGTATTTTAACACGATAATCGCCATGTGTGGCAAGTGTGCCTCGCACTGAATGTAACTCAACAGGCCGCACCGCACACATATTGGGTCCTATGATTGAACGTTTCTGTTATCCATAACGTACATGTTAGGTCGAATTTTAACAGTAACGAAGCAAGTTTGTATGATGGAAAACTGTTAAATTAGAACATAACAGGCGGAAAATAACATTAATGTGTTGGAAACCGTTTTTCATCATACGAACTTGCCTAATTACTGTTAAAACTGAGCCTAACATGTACGTTACGGATAACGTAAACGTTCAATCATAAGACCCAATGTCTCGCATGTAATGTTTTACTCCGTTACGCTACACAGAATTGCTTCACGTTTTCGTAGAAATGCTATAAGAAATAAAAGAACATGGCCTAATAAACAAATTAACTTAGTTGGCCCTGGCCAGGCCTGAATATATACGATTTGAATAAGGGTTAAATGTCACAATATAACATACTATTTTTGTTTTATGTATTTTATTCTTTTTTACTGTTCTAATGTAGTTTCTTAGGTAACTAAAAATCAATGAATTTAGACAACAAAATATTATTTTATTTGAAAAATAAACAATAGATTTGAAAATATATAAAATAAAATACATTCCCTTTAGATTTATGAACATAAAATTCGTATTCCAACAATAAAATAAAAAATAAAATGTAAAAAATCAGACTTTTGAAGTCTTATAATGTGCACATATGAACAGAAGTAAAGCAAGGTATACAATAAAATTTGTCGCACTGTATACATTTATAACGCGAAATAGTGGCCTTAGACGTTGCGTATTTTCTACCGTGTAGTTCGGACATGTTCTTGTAGCAATTTGGGCATCTACGTCTACTAGTAGTGTTCACTTCCTCAATGTGATGTCTTTGTGCCAATGGAGGATTTTCCCTTTTCGTTATATTAGTTTTTGGCAATATCTTCTCTAAAATGGGTAATTGTAACATTTTTACCAGTAACCTGTTTACATAGTATAAACGCGTTTACGATAGTTGAACCTAGAAGAATTTCTATTGCCAATTTGCGATACCACTTGATGCTACGTCTGAGACAAGAAGAGTAGGCTTTTAGTTGATCAGAGAGATCAATGAAACTTTTGTTTAGGTTATAGTCTCTAATAGCTGTTGGTTTTTCCTTTTCAGTTCCATTTTTAGACTTTACAGTAACCAGTAACCATGTTATTTGTGTGTTTTGTTGTCAGCATCAAAACTTCGCGTTTATCACACCACTTCAGTATCACCACTCCAGAATCACTTTCCTTGGCAATAACTTCGCCTTTCTTTAATCCTTTGGGATTCCCTAGCGATTTTTTCTCAAGGTGTCGACCAGATGAGTTTGTCTGTCCAGAAATTTGTGAGCAAGTTCGATACTGGTATAATATGTTATCAACAAATATGGTTCGACCACTATCCAATAATAAAGCCCATAACAATCGATGTTGGTACGCTGTCGGAAGTATTATTTTGTTCTGTTCCGCAATATATTTTGAAATAATACGTGTAACCTTGTTCAAGACAAAGTTTGAAAACGTTTACCCCAAACTTGTGTGTTTTGTTTTCTATATACTGAAGAAAACTAAGACGTCCTCGAAAAGGCACGAGGGTTTCGTCTACGCAAACATTGCGTGAAGGGGTTACTGCGTTTTGAAATTTTTGACTGATATGATTTAGAAGGGATTTGATTTTGTAAAGTCTGTGTGAAGTATCTGTACCTTCATTATCAGAAAAATGCCAGTGGCTCAAAAGGAACTCAAATCGATTTCTGGACATTAATGATTTTATTTTGTTTGAATATAAGATATTCTTAGACCAATAGGATGTTACACTCGGCATCTGAACTAATCCCATCCAAATCTGTATACCCAAAAAGATTTTCAATTCGTCAATCGTAGTATCCTTCCAATGTCGAATTCGAGCTTGAAGTAAATTGGTTTTTTCTGCTTTTTGCGAAGCGTATTTGTTGGTTTCTTGTACCATAATATTCATGATATCGTCATCCACAAACAGCAAAAAAATTAATAGGCTGATTATCATGCATACCTGAGATATTCTTATTTATATTACACCCTTGCTCGAAAACAGTTAAATGTTTTAAATTAAGGGGATTCTTACTTTTGAAAATATGCTTAAATATTAAGGATTTTTATTAAGGAATTGTAACTGATCTAATATTCGAATGTTATTGAAAACAATATATGTTATATAAACAACTGAAACTTAGATTGCTCTTCATTCAAAAATTTCAAAAAATAAATAGAAGACACATTAAAAAAATTGGAAGTCGGCTTGAACTCTCCAACTTCAAAAAATCATTACGCGTATATTTTCATAAATATCAAAAAAAAAAAAAACGAAAACAGAGCAGACTTTATTTATGTTCTTAATATGCTTCTAAAATTTCAATTAATTTGATGCGTTAGAATTGCCACAATTCCATTATAAAAATGCAAAATCCAAGTGTATACTCTTCTATCCTTCGCATGCTTTCTTTTTGTCATAGAGACGCGGCGGCCAGCAACAAGAAGTAATCCTGGGGATTGGGTGCCATGTGTGCACGTGTTTCTGTGTGTCTATAATCTTTTTTGTAGCTCAAAGAACTTTGAATTACTTTAAACTTGGTACAAAATTCATCTGAAAATGGTCAAAAATTTTAAAAAATAAAAAGAAAACAAAATCACTTTGATCTTTATATAATTTTGATAGAAGTTTCATTACTAAAATTAAAAATACGTTGTGTTTTGAAAGGAAAGGGTCACGGAACAGCAACAGATTATTTACATAAAACTATGAAAATTTAGCTAAATTTATCTATTTAGACTAAATTTCAAGTCAGATACAGGGTGCTTGAAAAAATTATTTGTTTTTTTTTTTAAATTAATTTGGAAAGAATCGTATTTTTGTTGTTTTTACACTTAAGTGGCGGTCCGATTGACTTTCAGTAAAAAAATAAAATGTACCTTTACCCTATATATCGCTTAATACAAGATTAATATCTACTTTCGGATAGGCAAGTTTGGCTAAATCGTGATATTTTTACATAAGAAAGTTACTAATCTGCTGCTTCTTCATTCTTATGGACCTTGTGTAAATATTTTTTTAGTTTTTTGAAATTAGGTATAATGAGATTTACAGGGTCCCTGAAAAAGATTTCACTAACAATCTAAGTAGTGGAACTCATTGTGATATACTTAACAAAATAATTCTTAGAATACTAAGGGCCAATTTCATAATCAAATTAAAGGAAACTCCTATAATATATAAGGACACTTTAACTGTTATATCGATTTCATAAAACAAATTTATTGAAAAAGTACACTTTAAAGCTTCGTTTAACTAAATACCCTATTCTGCTCCTTTAAAAGCTTTAAAGCGTCCTTTTTCTGATAACGCTTGAAAGTTTTTCGTTTTGATTGAGAATTTTTAT